CATTTTGTGCTGTTTGTATCGGGGAGTTCTTTTCCCATTGTACGCTTTTGCTGCCATAAGCAGATTATTGTATCTGCTGGGCTGGGACCACAACCTTGTATTTTGCGGGCTGCTGGGGGGAGGAAGACTTTTTCTGATGCTTCTCTGACCTGGCTCTGAAGTGGTGGTGCATGCCTGGCATGTTGTGGTGTGTTTTAATCATTCTGTTAAACCCCGGGGATTGGATTCTAGAACACAATCCCTAATTCAAACATGCATATTCGGATGTAAAGAGGCAAATTCCTGGCAAAGATTCACTTCTGTAACCCAAACTTTTGGGGTGTATTTGCTTCCGCTTTTTCAGAAGTGAAGAATAGCTTGTGTTCGCAAAAGCCTCTGTCCTCTTGACGTCCAGCTGGTCCTCTGGCTCTGTGTAGGAGGGAGATCTGCGTGCAAAAGAAATGTGCCTTTTGCTGACATCCCTATTTCTGTATTTGGTAGACCTTTACTTGCTGAGATTCATGTTGGTTCTCACACATAAATGCTTCTTATTAAAAACATTCTGACGTTGTGCTCACCTTGGAATTGGCTGGAGTACTCCTCGTCATCTTTGTGATGCTGCAGCCTCCATGTGAGGGCAGATGCAGCGTGCTTTTCACGGCCTAACATGCACCCCCGTGTTAAGTAATTTCAGGGGTTCCTCTGGAGAGGCACTGCTTTGGAGAAAATGGATTAGGATGTTTTTTTCTCTGTTAACCCATGCAGGCGGAGAGTGTTGCATCTCCCTCATGCACTGTATCAGAGATGACGAGATATGTTATACCTGTGTGTGTGTGACCTACTAATGTAAGAAACACATTGTTAAGCCTTGCTAAGTATTTTTACACGGCCCGTGCAATATTAGATGCTGTAATCTTATCAATGGGTCTCTCAGGCTGTCTGTTTCTCTAGGTGCTTTTGGTTTGTGTTTAATTTTGGTTGTTCCCAGTCAGTGAATTAAATAAAATATCATTTAGAACTGGGATTAGTGTGTTACTGTAGTCCCTGTTCTGCCTTCACCTTGCTTTTCCCTTCAGTGCTAGAGGAGGTACTGGCTTCCGTTGAAAGTGAGCTGCAAGCAGTGGAGATGCAGATCCAGGAGCTTGTGGATAAACAGCAGGAACTCCTTCAAAAGAAGATGAGGATACAGAGTCTGATAAAGCAGTCCTTGGGAGAGTCGGAGGCAGGTGGAAGTAAAGACACTGAAACCTCACCCGAGGCATGGAACAAAAAAGGTTTGCAGAGTCAAATTCAAATATTCTGATGTAGAAGTAGACTAATTCAGTAGGGGAAATGTGTTCATACAGAGTTTTGTTTGGATAGTGGTATTGTCTTATTTCATTTTGATCACCCGGGTGACCTGCCATCTTAATTACACAGGGTAATGTTTGTACTTAATGCCCTGGATGTTCCTGAATACTAGTCTTCGTTCTTCTGGGCAGAATTATCACAAGAATGGCCTGTTGTAGCTACTTTTATTCTTCTCATGTTGCAAAGTCACAACTTCATTCGAATTGCTATAAGAATCTTGGGGTAAAACTGCATATATTGCAATACTTATATTCTGATATTTAAGTATTATGAACTTATATAAACTGTTAACTGATGTTCTAAAAATAATTACTCTGGATCTTTGCAGGACTTGATAATAACAGTCCTGCACTCTCAAAGTTGCTGTCTTTGTGTTTCTTCTTGCTTGAGTAGGTAAGACACTGGTGGTGTCTGCAAGGGGTTATGTAGCCTCACATCTTACCAAGTTATTCAAATGAGGCGGGATGCTGACTGCCAAAAGTAACGTAAAATACACTATCATGGTAGGGCTCATCCAGGTGGCGAGTGCCCCGTGCTGGTGTGAGGGCTGCCCTTCCTCTGCAAGTGCTGTGTTTCAAGTTAACCATTAACTGAACTCCTGGGTAGCGGGTGCATCTTGACCACCTTATGCCTAGCCAAATTCAATTCTGATCTTCCTGTTGTTCTTTCCCCTCCTCTTGCAATTTGGAAATGCATTTTTAGTGTCTACCTGTATCTGTTACATATAATATGATACTTTATCATTTCAAATGAATGCTGTTGAACACCTGGATTTGTTTGGGGTGACTTTGTGCCTAATTCTCCCCTCCTGTGCTTTGAAAACTAACATCTTTGCAACCAGATGCTGTGCGCGTGTGGACTAAGAACAGTAGCTAAATTTGCCCGTGCAAAGCTCGCTGAGGCCAGTGGAAGGCTTTTCTGGGTTTCAGAGAGCTGTGGTACTTGGCTGTGATCTCTGTACATTAGGGAGCAATGTCACCTCTAGTCCCAAATTAATTCTTGCATTGCACGAACCCTGGAGTTCCCACAGTTCTTCTGCATTTTAGTTTTAATAACAGGAAAAGGGTTAATATGCTTCCTGATGCATCTGAAATATAAGTATATACAGTGTTGTCTCTTCATATTTTGCAGTCTAGCACTTTATTGAAGGAAAGAAAAAAACTATTATAAGCATGTAGGGGTGATTGTTTTGGGGAAGATTAAACCTCTCCCCAACCCCACAACCCTTCTTTTTTTTTTTTTTTTTTAATAAATGCTTATTTTCTCTGGAATATATGGCAAAAATCATAGAATCACAGGATGGTTTGGGTTGGAAGGGATCTTAAAGACCTCAAAGTCCCAACCCCCCTGCCATGGGCAGGGACACCTTCCACTAGACCAGGTTGCTCCAAGCCTCATCCAGCCTGGCCTTGAACACTTCCAGGGATGGGGCATCCACAGCTTCTCTGGGCAACCTGTGCCAGTGCCTCACCACCCTCTCCGGGAAGAACTTCTTCCTGATATCCAATCTAAACCTCCCCACTTTCAATTTAAACCCGTTACCCCTTGTCCTGTCACTACAGGCCCTTGTAAAAAGTCCCCCCCCGCTTCCTTTTAGGCCCTTCAGGTACTGGAGGCAGCCCTGCCTTCATTATACCATTTGTAATCGTTGCATTTGTAGGAGGGAAACATTTGGTCAACTTAGTGTTGAGACTGTTGTAGGGCTCAGTGTCTGGTTTTATTTATTTGCAGGGTTTATTTATTTGCAGGGAAGAACTTCTCATTTCCAGGTAACTTTGGACTAATTGGTTAACTTGATCATTAGCACTTTGAAGTTCTTCCTCTGCCTGTGAGTTTTCAGCACCAGTTCACATCTATGTGCGGTGAGAGCCTTTAGTCTGGAGGTGGATGGTGTTTACATTTCGCAGGGGTTTTGAAGGCCAGCCTTAGAAACGTGTTTCTACAGACTCAGGTTGTGTGTAGCTTTGTGTGTGCCGTTACTGAACCTTTGAACACTGCACCACCTTGAAAATGGTATTGCCTCCAGATGTGTAGTTACTGTAAAATATGTAAATGGCCCTTCCTTCTCGTATTTTAACAAACTCTTGGTTATGAAACTGTCTGTTTTTTTTTTCCCTTAACAGATTTTCCATGGTATGAGAAGATAAAAACTGTACTGCAGAGCACGTTTAAACTCCACAAGTTTAGGTCCTTGCAACTCGAAACAGTAAATGCTGCAATGGCAGGAAAGGATATATTTCTTGTCATGCCTACGGGTGGTGGGAAGAGCCTTTGCTACCAGCTACCAGCTGTCTGTTCTGACGGTATGTGGGGGAAGAAAAGGGTCATATGAAAGCAATTGGATTTATTTTCTCCCTTTTTATAGTTACTTGGAGAATGAAGATTGTATGGGTGTCTGATACCACAGTATGGGGGGATAAAGGGCAAAGAGATGAGAGAAAGAGTTACTAGAAATATTTGCTTTGCTCTCTTTATTCTCTCTGAAGGAGCAATAGTAGCTTTAAAGTAGATGTGCCTTTTAGGTGTGGTTTAGATTTAAATCATAGAATCATAGAATGGTTTGGGTTGGAAGGGACCTTAAACATCATCTGGTTCCAACCCCCTGCCGTTCATCTATTTCCTCTCAGTATGTTATGTTATTAAACACTGAAAGAACTTTTTAAAAGTTTGTGACAATTTTTTCTCTCTCTTTTAATTCGCTATGAGGTGTATAAATTATTGAAGTATGGATGTCTGTTATTTGTCTGTTCCACTCTCAAGTTTTAGCTTGGGATTATTTAGGAGAGACTTTGTGTATTTATTTTTATAAATAAGAATCCAGTCTGAGGTTTTGGGGTTTTTTTTGTTTGTGTTTTTTTTTTTTTTAATAACCCATCCAGTTGCATGGAGATTTGCCTATTTACAAAGGCCAAACTTGCCAATACCTAGCATTGCTTAGCTGCCTGGTGAATTAGCGCCTGAGGAGACAGGTGTGAATCCACCTTTGTGTTTTGCATGTTAGTTCTCACACTCTTGCAGCTCAGTTGTTTGTGGTGTGGGTTCTGAGAGGAGGTGCATGTCACGGGCAGTTGATCAGGACTCGCTTAGCCACTGCCTAGGAGGAGCATCTGCTGCCGGGTATGAAGCTTAAGCTCAGGTTTTTGGCAGTTCCTTCAGAACAGAGCTGATGCTTTACTAAAAAGTATTAGAGTATTAGAGTTTGTGACACAGGAACTGTTCAGTTTGCACAGTGCTTGATTGTTACAGGTTTCACGCTTGTGATTTGTCCTTTGATCTCGCTTATGGAAGACCAGCTCATGGTTTTGGAACAGCTTGGAATTTCTGCAACGCTGTTAAATGCCTCAAGCAGTAAGGTATGTTTAACTGCCAGGTCTCCGTGGGTTTTGTGGTGCGTGTGCCGGTGTCTTGCCTCAGTGTACGGTGTTTATGAGAACTGGGTGAGTGGCACAGTCTTTCCAGCTAATGCTGCTCTGGCAACAGTACCTGACAGCTGTGTGCTGTGGTACGGATAACGTCAGTATCTATCTTGCGTTCTTGTTTTCAACACATGGAAAGCAGCACCTTCATGGAATAAATAGATTTCATGAGATTTAGAGCTTCACATCTTATTTAGAGGGTGTGAGGTACCTTTGGCTGGTGTGTGTCATAGATTTTTTTTCAGTTTCTAGACTTAAAAGAAGATTGGAGTAGGCAATTTTTGTCCACTGGTAACGTGTTGAGCAGTGCAGGCTTTTACATGTAATTATTTGTCTTACTTTGGTAAGCTGCTTGATCCAGAGGCCAAGAAGCAATTTATTTCCCAGGCTGTTAGTATCAGTTAATTGTTTTTTATAGTGAAATATATTTTCCTGACTACCAGGAGACCGTGGTCGTTAACTTGCACGTGACTCTGGATTTGGTAGCTTGATGGCTTGATGCAGTGTGCCAAACTCGGAGCCTGCTTTGAGGCAGAGCGCTTTGAAAACTCAGGAATAAAGGCTACAGTTATGTGTAAGAAATTATTTTACACTTGCAATACCACAGGCACGTTTGGTACGTTATAGTTTGTTGGGAAAATACTGGTGCCACATGGTGAAGCAAAGACTAATGCTCAATAACTTGCTTTCTCGAAGCTCTGTGACAGATTTTCCTGGTATTAAAATTAACATTTTATATATAATGATCTTCTGCAATGACTTACAGTAGTGGTAACAGTTCATCAGCCTCTGTTAATTACTCCTTATGAATTGTTAATGACCTCTTAAGAATCTTCACTCTAAGCAACTTCCAGGTGTTGTGCTAGTTTGTTAGTTTGATTTCTCCGTTTGTTTTGCACAGGAACATGTGAAGTGGGTTCACACCGAAATGCTGAACAGAAACTCAGAGCTGAAGCTCCTTTACGTGACCCCGGAGAAGATCGCAAAAAGCAAGATGTTCATGTCAAAGCTAGAGAAAGCTTACCAGGCGGGGTGTCTCGCTCGCGTCGCTGTCGATGAGGTCCACTGCTGTAGTCAGTGGGGCCATGACTTCAGGCCTGGTATGCTCGTTACAAATCCAGTTTGCAGTGTTCCTCAGGCATTAATAAATAACGAGTTAGGCCTGAAATGAAGCCATCTGCCTTCTTCATGTGCTAATTAATTACGCGGTGTTATGGCAAGTACCTGTGTTAGCTCAAGGACTGAAAGTTAATTCACAAATGGCTATGTCCTTGTCCAGGAGCTACGTTCATACAAATAGGGACAATTTCAATGTGGGTTTTGCTGTCAGTATTCTGAAAAACTCCTAATTCCGTTCACTTTAATTGGAGCTTAATGAAGTGAAAGGTTTTGGCTGCTGTCTTTGATATGGACAATACAGTAATTTTTACTGCTACGTGAAAAACTGTCATTCCGTACACCACTCCCTAACGCTCTGGGTGACAGTGGTAGAGCATTTTGTAAATTTGTCAGATACACTGTAATCCCTTCTAAAGCAAGTGAAACAAATGCCCCTGACCTGCAGGGAAATAATGTGTGCTTCAGTCCGTTTCCTGTCTTGTCAGTTGTAGAAGACCATTTACTTGCTGGTTACTCTTTCTTTGCCTTTGAATGAAAACCTGATTTGAAGCAATAGTAACTGTAAAGTCAACCTTCGCAGTTTTGTTAGAAGGCCATGTCTGGGCAAAAACAGGCAATGTGAAATTTGGATGTGTAATTCTGGCTGCATTTCTGTTCTAAGGCAGCAGGTGATTGCCAGCAATGGGTCTATAACTCTTTTCTTGGTACAGTCTGGCCTATGTATCCAAATTCATAGAATCACAGAATTGTTTGGATTGGAAAAGACCTCTAAATTCATCAAGCCCAACCGTTAACCCAGCACTGCCAAGTCCACCACTAACCATGTCCCCAAGCACCACATCTGCACGTCTTTTAAATACCTTCAGGGGTGGTGATTCCAGCACTTCCCTGGAGAGCCTGTGCCAATGCCTGACAGCCCTTTCCGTGAAGAAATTTTTCATAATATCCAATATAAACCAGTATAAGTATATGGTGCAACTTGAGGCCGTTACCTCTTCCTCTGTCACTTGGGAGAAGAGACCAACCCCCACCTCCCTACACCCTCCTTTCAGGGAGCTGTTGAGGGTGATCAGGACTCCCCTCAGCCTCCTCCTCTCCAGGCTGAACACCCCCAGCTCCCTCAGCTGCTCCTCACAGGACTTGTTTTCCAGACCCTTCCCCAGCTCCATTCCCTTCTCTGGACACGCTCCAGCCCCTCAGTGTCTGTCCTGTCGTGAGGGGCCCAGAACTGAACACAGGATTTGAGGTCTGGAATCACCATTCCATGCTGCTTGTTTATTAGCAAAGCTGTGTTTACTGAAAATCTGCCTGTAAAAACAGACCTGCAAAATAACCTGAATGTTGGTTAATATGTTACCGCTTCCATTTTTCTAACTCTTTAAGAACTTGTATTTCAGTGTAGTTTTCCTCCAGTATTGTGGCTGCTTCTGTAAAATTCAGTTACTCTGCTGAATGCTACCTACATGAATGTTGTCTTTAACTTTGGTTCTGTAGTATGAGCAATCTCTTTATTTCCCTTTTTTCCTTTTCTCGCTTAGACTACAAGTCCCTTGGTATCTTGAAAAGACAGTTTCCCAACACTCCCTTGATTGGGTTGACAGCAACTGCCACAAATCATGTTTTAAAGGACGCTCAGAAAATTTTGCATGTGCAGAAGTGCATAACCTTCACTGCTTCTTTCAACCGGCCCAATCTTTACTACGAGGTATGTCTTACCACCTGCTTGTTGGACTGCACCAATTATAGTAATTATAATGTATTAAATTATATGTTTTAATAATAAATAGCTTTTGAACTGAATGATGGCATTTATTCATGGCTTCATCTTGCTGAACTTGCTGTCACCTGCAGAGGAACTTGGGGTGCTGGGTCTCTGTGAGCAAGCCTGAGCAGGTAGGACTGTGTACAGGCAGAGGGAGGTAGCAGGCTCAGACTGCTACAGCCTGTTGGAAAATATGGCATATTATTACAAAAAGTTGTGAGCTACTGGGTTGTGCTGTATTTTAAGTTTAGCCACAGGTTCTTTTATTGGTCTTCATGGGAATACTTGCGATTTTTTTTTTTTTTTTTCCCTATGGACTTTTGGGATGTAATCTGACCGTACACAAAGAATATAGTAATTCTGGTGAAATGGCAGAACAGTTGTGTTTATTGTACTGGAAGAAGTAGAGTAATAGGAGTGTTTGACAGAAGAACTCTCTGACATGCGTATATTATATTTTTGAGGTTCGGCATAAGCCTTCAAATAATGAAGATTTCATTGAGGACATAGTTAAGGTCATTAATGGAAGATACAAAGGACTCTCAGGTAAAGAAAGTGTAAAAAAAGAAAAAAATGAACCTTGGTTTTTTTTTTTCCTAATCTTAAGCATTACAGATGTTTTCGAGTGATTCTGAAATGGTGAGGGTAACATTTTTCTACACATTAAACGTTCAGCATTAAAAGAAACTAAATTTATTAAGATTCGTACCTTGAATAGTTACACTTTTAATTTATTAGTTCAAAGCCTTTACAGTTTACTTATCTTCTGAAATACTGAAATACGATGTTGATGTATAGAAACCAATGTTTACGTAGATAAGCACAATAGCACAGCATAATAGCCATTTTTAAGACTGTAAAAACGTGGCTCAAAAAAGGTTATCTGTGTGTTCCTAAATCAGGGATATGTCATGTAGTAACCATCCTGACACACACACGTTATCTTTTAACACTTCTTTTTCATAGATGATGGTAAAATTCACGTATTATTCTGTGCCCAGAACGGGTGGGTGCTGGGGTGAATTGCGCTTTTGCGATGAAAGCAGAACTGCCAAGGTTGGACTCTGTGCAGTCAGTAAATTACACAGTGCAAATAAAGAGGAGAACCGTGTAACGGAGGTAACAGAACCCAACTTTCCGGAGCAGCAGTCTGTCCCTGTCTCTGCTGGGGAACTCCGTGGCTGTGAGGAGCAGCTCCCTGAATACAGCCTGTGCTGAGACAGTCACAGTCGCACGGCTTTGTGTGTAATCCTTGACTTAGCCCAGGCTGACTCCTGACAAAGAGCAGATTTACCTGAAACCTCAGGTGAGAAGTCACGGATGATGTAAGGAACAGCACTCCTTTACATAAGCACTGATAACTGCTGTCCTCCTCAAACATTAATTGAATACTGCCGTGATGATGTGGGTTGGCGTAGGTTCCCCTTAGCCTACGAGTCAAAGCTGATAACTAAGTTCCACTCGTGCCTGATGGTACTGCGGATCGAGCAGGCACAAAGGTCGTGCACTGTTTGTGATGGATTTACTTTTAAGTTAATAAGACGTTCCAAGTTGGTTTAAAGAATTGGGGGTTGTTTGGGTTTTTCTAAGACGTCTCAATACACCCAAAAAATTACTGTTTTTCTCAGAAGGATGCTGAGCAAGTAACTGTGGGTTTGCAGAGACTGGGGATCAAGGCAGGGACTTACCATGCAAACATGGATGCTAAATACAAGACCAAAGTTCATAGAGGATGGGCAGCAAATCAAATCCAGGTGAAGTAGATACTTTTTCATAGACATAGGTCTCCTTTAAACAAGTTGTGTTTTCACACCTTGATGGTTTCTTAATCTTCCTTCAGGTTGTAGTGGCGACTGTTGCTTTTGGCATGGGAATTGATAAACCCGACGTGAGGTTTGTAATTCATCATTCTATGAGCAAATCCATGGAGAACTACTACCAGGAGAGCGGGCGTGCAGGTACTGGAGGGCGTAGCTTTCGCGAAGTAGCCGGGTACATCTGTTAAACCAGTAAAACTGTACTTCGATTTCGGCCATCTGTGCCGAGCGCCTTGCCTGCGAGACAGGCTCCAAGGAGTAGAGTGCCACCCTGCCTCTGCAGAGAGGCTGTAAAGCAAATGCAAACCCCATTCATGATCTCGGGCCTCTCTACTGCAGGGGAGCTGAGAGTGAGCAAGTACTTGGCCCTTTATGCCGCACTATTTTACTTACTTCATTTTTGTGACGTGTGGCTTTCCAGAATAATGTCGTAACGTGACATTGATCAAATCTATGTAACAAAGGATTATTTTTTTTTTCATTGCATAGCAGCTGGGATGCAGGATTTGCTCAGATTGCCTCTAGAAGATGTCTTCTCTCTCTGTGAATTTCAGTGGATGCAGAAATTCAAGTAGGATGGGGGGAGTCTGGAGCTGGGAATTTCAAGGATTGATCAATGTATAGCAGCACGAAAGAGCTGTTACAGCTGGAAAAAAGAAGGTTTTCTGGTGGTTTGTTTTGTTTTGGGGTTTGTTTTTTTTTTTTGACCATGTGCATTAGTACTTTTTCAAAGACAGGTTCAAATCTGTGTGGAGGAAAGCTTTTTAAGGACCCTGAGGGACAATTGGTTAAGATTTTAACTATGTCTGAGTGGTAGAAATTGGCCTTAATGCTGGCCTAAGAAATACAGAGTTTGTGGGAGTTTGCATTCTCTTATGCTGGGGATAGATACAAAGGCTGCAGAGATGCTAAAATAGTTGTTTTGTGATACTTACCAGCTTATGGTGATTAGAATCATAGAATAGAATCACTTGGGTTGGAAGGGACCTTACAGACCATCCAGTTCCCCCCCCCCTGCCATGGGCAGGGACACCTTCCACTAGACCAGGTTGCTCCAAGCCTCATCCAGCCTGGCCTTGGACACTTCCAGGGATGGGGCATCCACAGCTTCTCTGGGCAACCTGTCCCAGTGCCTCACCACCCTCTCCAGGAAGAACTTCTTCCTGATATCGAATCTAAACCTCCCCACTTTCAATTTAAACCCGTTACCCCTTGTCCTGTCACTACAGGCCCTTGTAAAAAGTCCCCCCCAGCTTCCTTGTAGCCCCTTCAGGCACTGGAAGGTGCTATAAGGTCTCCCCGGAGCCTTCTCTTCTCCAGGCTGAACAAGCCTAACTCTCCCAGCCTGTCCCCATAGCAGAGGGGCTCCAGCCCTCTGAGCATCTCCGTGGCCTCCTCTGGACTAATGTTTTCTTTTTGGTTTTTTTTTTTTTTTAAACACGTTGCAGGTAGAGATGACCAAAAGGCTGACTGCATTTTGTATTACGGTTTCGGAGATATATTCCGGATCAGCTCAATGGTGGTGATGGAAAATGTGGGGCAAGAGAAGCTGTACGATATGGTGTCTTACTGCCAGGACATGAACAAGTAAGTTACCCTGGTGCCTTGGTTGCGTAGTTTTTATAGATAGGCCGCTTCTTTTGGTTTATTTAGAGAGTGTTTAAAAACACTCCACACAAAACCACACAAAACCACCACCAAAACAAACCAGAAACCAAACCCACACGCTGCAGAAATGCTGCCATTGTGGCAGCGTCCTGAGTTTGGAGTTTGTGGTTTGGCTGCTCGGCGCGTGTGCTCTTGCAGCCGACTGAATGTCGGTGTGTTGCTTGCCAGGATAAAGTTCTGGCAGCAGTTATTTTGAGATAAAACACCTGCAACAAACAGTGTTTGGATTTGAAATCCCATTCAGAGCAAATACTGAGATGCTTTGGTTTGGAGTTTGGAAACTCTTCAGGCACCAGAGTTTCGTGGCCATCCAGGACTCTGCACGGGTTTAGCGTGTCACCAGCTGCGCTGAGCTGCATCAAGTACGTCAAGGAAAACGCCGCTACCTGTGCTGCCGGCAGCTCGTGCCCTCGGTGCAGCCTACAACTCTCATCGTGCTCTTAGAATTTTTCACTCCGGTGGAATTGCGGGTTATGCTCTCTTTTCTGCTTTAACCAAACTTCCTACAGCACTGTCCAGTACTGCTGAAAGCGACGAGTTACTCCTACTGCTGTCACGGAGAGAGGATACAGTGTTGCTGTGTTCACTTTCTCATTTCTCCTGAGAGAATTCTTGCTGCTTGTTCTGAGAGATGAGCTGACCCCGGGCACCTCTTTTTGCTGTTTTTGTGATTGATGACATGGGCGTGTACATTTGTAAGGACACAAAGCAGCCCCTCTTTGCTCTCTGTTTCTGCAGGTGTCGCCGGGTCCTTATAGCCCATCACTTTGACGAAGTATGGGATTCGGCACGCTGCAACAGGATGTGCGATAACTGCTGCAGGGGGAGCTGTGAGTAAACTGGGTTTATAACCAAGGACAGAGAACATGGAGGGGGTGGGCTTAAGGAAATACCCAGTTGAGGCAAACGGAGCAGCTTCTGTCAAGCATGCTGGTAATACTGCCCATTGTCAAGGCTTAGCTCTTGTCATGAGCAAGGTTTTGGTGGCTTAGTGCTGCCAAATTCAGGGTGTTTAGCAGGATGCTTCCTGCTTCAGCTTTTCGCCTGAGGCCAAGCACTTCAGTGTCTTTCAGGCTCAGTTGTTCGCCTGTTCCCCAAGCGAAGCTGGGGCAAGGGGGCGAATGGCTTACCTGTCTTACTGGGTACGCGGTGCGTTCAGGATGTCTTTGGGGGTGTGAAGGCTTCATTTTGAGATGGAGCCTCTCGCTCTCTGCGCACCAAACTGCTCACGCTTCGTCTCTGAGGAGGCACAGTTTGCCATGTCCCTAAATCGCTCGCCTGGCGAGATCGCTGGGGATTTCAGTGCTGCGGCCTCACGAGACCTGCCTGTGCCGGGCCGGTGCGCGGCGGCTGTGCAGAACAAGCGAGCCCTCTGACTCAGGGTTTTGCTCTGCGTCCGCCCTAACAGCACGATGCCTGTCCGGGGTGTGCTCTTCCTTTGGAAGAAAGTTGGGATCATGAGAGGGGAAATGTGGGCCAGTTAGAGGGAACCTGGGTGATGAGCTGCACGCTAAGGGAGGATGGTTTCAGGGCTGGAGCACCTCTCCTATGGTGGAAGGGTGAGAGAGTTGGCCTTGTTCAGCCTGGAGAAGAGAAGCCTCCGGGGAGACCTTATAGCACCTTCCAGTGCCTGAAGGGGCTACAAGGAAGTTGGGGGGGACTTTGTACAAGTGCCTTGAGTGACAGGACAAGGGGTAACGGGCTTAAATTGAAAGTGGGGAGGTTTAGATTGGATATCAGGAAGAAGTTCTTCCCGGAGAGGGTGGGGAGGCACTGGGACAGGTTGCCCAGAGAAGCTGTGGATGCCTCATCCCTGGAAGTGTTCAAGGCCAGGCTGGATGAGGCTTGGAGCAACCTGGTCTAGTGGAAGGGGTCCCTGCCCATGGCAGGGGGGTTGGAACTAGATGGGCTTTAAGGTCCCTTCCAACCCAAACCAGTCTGTGATTCTGTGAATGCAGTTCCCGACAAGTTCTTTTGCTGCTTTGCCTAGAGACATCCTGGGTAGTGTTGGGTGGAGCCTGAACTATGCCTTCATGGGTGTGGTTGGCTGTTTGCACTGTTAGTTTTGGTACCCATCCAGAAAGCCCCGAGTCTGAGGATGCACAAAGTACCAGTTCCTGCTCTTGCTAAGTGAGAGCTCTGGCTTAGACATCGGAAATGCCACACAAAGCTAGAAGACTCTGAAACGGGTGCTGAGAAAAAGCTGGTCTTGGGCATCTGTCTTGTACACACAAAACCACCTCAGATCTCTTTGAGTGACAGGTGAATTCTTGTCACATGTGGAAAACTTCATCTCCTCATATGTGTTGTTGAAGCATTTGGATAATGTAGTGATCAGCACTTGAAAAACTTGGAAACAACTCTGTATTCAAAGCTGTTCTCATAACTAGACTTTACCCCCCAGAAATATACAGGGAAATAAAGGAGGCGAAACAAAGATATTTAGCTTTTTTCTTTATACAGTTTGTGACATCTGTGTAATGGAACTGTTCTGCAAAATCACGCAAGTAACAATGTCTTGTGGTATTCCGGTTGGCGACGGGGCTTAGTTGAAGTTTACGCTGGAATCAGAGATTGAGGAGAGTAGGGAGCTTCCTTGTGCCCAGGAGTCAGAGGGGCCACGTGATGAAGTGCGCTTAAAGCACACCCTGCTTAGCGCTGGCTCACCCCCAGCGCCCTCCCAGCCAGGAGCAAGGGCTGAGGGAACCTGGCGGCAGCGCTCGCCTCTTGGTGTTGGGGTAACTCTGTGCCGTCGGCTGGTCACGCGGTAGAACCACCGTCGTTGCGTACTACGTGGGTCTGGTAGCGCTCGGAATGATCAGTCACGATGAAGAGAATTTGTATCGTGAAATTACTTTTCTGTCTCACTTTGTGTCTTGAGAGAAGAAACGTCTTGCTTGTGTTCTTCAATTCCTTTGTTCTCTGTTCTTCCCGTAACAAACATTACGGGTGAGGAGAAGGAATCCAGCTGCAGAGTAACACAGGGGCTACCTGACAAATCTTATGCTTTGGAAATGCTTCTTTAAAGTAATTTGTGTGGTTTGGAATGAAGTAGAAAGATACAAATACATCCTCTTTGACAGCGGGAAAGTCATGAGTGTTAAAAGTTACAGCTTTATTTGTTACACACGTATGTTCATGGATACACACATACGTGTGTGGATATGCTTAATGTGTACGTGGATACTCTACGTAACTACATATAACTTGCAAGTTAAATGTTGCTTCACTCTTCCTTGTAGCCAGTGAGAAAACGGACATAACGGGATACTGCAGGGATCTGATCAGGATACTCGAGCAAGCTGAAAACAGGAGTGAGAAACTCACCCCCCTGAAGTTAATCGAGGCGTGGTCTGGTAAGGGGGTATCCAAGTTCAGGGTGGCTGAAGTCATTCCACCAACGCACCCTCGGGAGGAACTGGAGAGGATTATCGCCCATTTACTGCTGCAGCAGTATCTGAAGTACGTAAGATGACGACTACGTTGGTTTTTAACATCTAGTTGTCACTTTTCTTTACTCTCACGTTAATTCTGTATAATATTAAGGGGTGCATTCTGTAATCTCGTTTTCAGCCTTTGTTTCAGATGCATGTAAAGTACTTTTAAAAACCCTCAAAGGATTACAATGTTTCGACCCCAAAATGTTAAAGCAAAAGCTGGAGGAACACGTGAACTGCTGCACCTCTGGCCGTTCGAAAAAGCTGAGGTCAGCTATGTTCAGGTTGAACCTTCCCAGCAGCAGCAGGCTTCATTCTGGGCGAGTCTGCTGTGTATATGGAGCCTCCTTACGCGCCGTGGCTGAGCAGTCGAAGGGGGCTGCCCACGCGGAGTCGGGGGAGGCTGGCTGATGTGGACAGTGGTACTCGGGAGCTTTAAGAAAGTGCAGTAGAAGTAACAAGAGTGGTGCGCGTGCAATCTGTATGTGCTCGGTCTTTTCAGTCAGCTTTAGAAGTTCCAAGAACATCTACACATCAGACGTTCAATCCCTTTATTTTTGTCTTAATTGTTTTTGGCATCTGTTTGTACACCTGATGTTTGACACTCTTACAACCGTGAGCAGGTGACTTCCTACATCTCTCTTTCTGCATTTTTCTCCACGTATTCCAACAGATTGGCACACGCATGTGTGCGTAAAGGTCCACTACCTGAAGTACGCTGAGTGTTGGCTAGACTTGTTCTGAAAGGGGCTACAAGGAAGCTGGGGCAGGGGGGCTTTTTACAAGGGCCTGTAGTGACAGGACAAGGGGGGTAATGGGTTTAAATTGAAAGTGGGGAGGTGTAGATTGGATATCAGGAAGAAATTCTTCCCAGAGAGGGTGGGGAGGCACTGGGACAGGTTGCCCAGAGAAGCTGTGGATGCCCCATCCCGGGAAGTGTCCAAGGCCAGGCTGAATGAGGCTTGGAGCAACCTGGTCTAGTGGAAGGTGGCCCTGCCCATGGCAGGGGGGTTGGAACTGGATGGTCTTTAAGGTCCTTTCCAACCCAAGCCAGTCTGTGATTCTATGAAAATGTGTCTGTCTACTGGAATAGCAGAATCCAGCTGCTATTAGGAACATCCATGGGAAGGGTTAATGTGTCCTGTTTTCCCCCTGCGTGGTCTAGCCTGTCTTCGTCTCCAATCTTCTCTTATTACACTGATTTAATTTACACAGGGAAGACTTCAGCTTCACGGCATTTGCTACAATATCCTACCTGAAGATAGGACCCAAAGCAAGGCTGCTGGGAAATGAGGCACACGTTGTCACTATACAAGGGCTAACGAACAAGAAAAGCGTTTACAAGGTATTTCCATCTCTGCCAGTGGGCTACACGGATGTTACTTTCCATTACAGTTTATGTTAACAGTTTGGTATCTGTTCAACCCATTTTTCATAGCAATGCAGTGAACAGGATTTAAAATAATCTCATTATCTTCTCCCTTGGGTGGGAATGCTGAAAAAGAAGGAAAACATGGTTAGACTTTTAATGGAATTGTTCGTGACTTACAGGACAAGCCATCTCGATCTTCACCTTCGAAAGGAAGCAGAGAAAATGCTCGGACTATTGCAAAGACTGTCCAGGCTTCCGCGGTGAGGAATTCTCAGGAACACAAACGGCCCAGCAGTGGCTCCAACATAAAAGCGAAGAAGCTTAAACTTCAGTGGGGTGGCGATGACCAGCCAGTAGTTCTGGACTGATTTCTGCGGGCTGCATGGAGGATCTAATGACGTGTGCTTCTCCGTGGACAGCGCAGTGTGTAAGTTCAGTGTGTGTCTTAGCAATGGTATTTGATTTGTGCATTTCTTTAATTAAAAAAAACCACCAACGGGGAAACAAATATCTTTAGAACCCTCAGATCTAGAAGTCGTCTAGAAAAATGCTGCCTATCAAAATAGCTGGAGCATCTCCTGGGATACAGCAATGGCTACAAAACATACATAATGACCGTGTTGCCTTTTTAACTCCTTTGGAAGCGGAGTGTGTAGGAACACTGTTGCAGAATCACCCAGGCTGGAAGGGGCTTCCAGAGGTTGCTCAAAGCAGGTCGCTAGAGGTCACCCAAAGCAGGTCCGGTTGGAACAGGGTGCTCACGGCTCTGTCCAGCTCAGTTTCGACTGTCCCTAAGGATGGAGATCCCACACCTCTCTCAGCACCTCTTCCAGTATTTGACCACCTTCGCGGCCAAAAAACCCAAAAGGGTATTTGTTAGTGGTACTAACAAATCAGTTAGGTATTTGCAGAGGTGCTCACAGAAGCTGCTCTTACTGCTTTTTGCATCCTTTGCTAGTTCTACCTCCGGCTGAGCTCCTGCATTTCCAACTCCCTCCCTGTGTGCTCAGGCAGTGTCTCTCTGTCCTGGACGTCATGTGCCTGCTGCCTTTTTGGTGTTTGAGCTGGCTGGGGAGCTCTGTTCACCTGTGCCAGGCTTGCTCTACCTTCCGCACGTAGGAAGAGACTGTGTTTTGAGGAGGTTGTGTTTTTGGAAATCAAGCGGTTCTCCTGAGCCCCTTTGCCTCCCAGGGCAGTCCCCCTGGGATCCTGACAAGCAAGTCCCAGAACAAGCTGAAATCTGCTCTCCTGAGGTCCAGGATGGTGGTTCTGCTATGTCTTCTTCGCCCCTCTGTGTCGAATTTAAAATTCTGAGTCACGCAGTCGCTGAGCAACACTGGGATCTGGTCACCCCGTAAGAGGCAACCCTGCCGCTGTCTCCAAGCCAGTGAGGGCCTCTGTCCTCCCCAGGAGGGGCTTCTCTGCTAACTCCTCTTCCTTTTCCCTTTTCCTCATCCTGTGAGCATTGGCTGAGGTTGAGCTGGCATTGATGCATTCCCTGGGGGAGTCATCCTCACCTTCCTCAGGGTGCTGTACCTGCTGCGCAGTGGCAGAGCCGCAGGTGGAAAAGGAGCTGGATGCAAGAGGTTTCCAGCTTTCCCTCCTGTGGGAGCCTCCATCACTGCTCCTGCACTGAGGGTAGTCTCAAGGCTTTCCCCGCTTTGCAGCGCAGGACTAGGGTGTCCTGAGCTCTGCAGCGTCTCCGTGAAGACCCTGCCACCTCCTGTTCCTCCTCCTGCAGCTCCTTCCTCCAGCAGGGCAGCACTGAACGGGAGCACAGCTCCCACCAGTGAGGCTGCTGGCACCAGCCCCAGGGAGAAGCATCAGGAATGGCAGGGAAAGCTGGACGCTTGAAGCCTAAATGTGGGCTACATCAAACTTTGTCTTTGGGATGTCTCGGGATTCTAGTCTCGTAACTTTGCTCCTCCACCTATCTGCTGGCTTACATTCCTGTTCTTTGTGGAAAGGGAGGAGAGCAAGCGAGTACAGGAGAGTACCGCTGCTTGCCTGTGGCTCCAAGCAGTGCGTCTCCACCCCCCGGAGCGCAGCCTGGCTCGCCTACGCGTCCTTCCACGTCACGTCCTGGTTCTGCGGAGGCAAAGGAGAGCCAGTGCTTGCTGCCATGAGGGCTCTCGCGTTCTGCCTCGGCCCGCCGCGTGGCTGATGGTACCCAGACACCGGCCTGGGTGAACACAGGACGTGTTTCTCCAGGACACGCGGGTTTAACGCAAGCTTCACCGAAACCCTGACAGTCAGGAGTAGAAACATGATGGAAATCAGTCAGGATTAACAAAGTAAGACTAGTAGAGGTTGTTTCACAAGCAGTGGAAATCTGGTAATTCAGAAATTATGGCAGATTTAATTTTGAGGTTTGGAATGAGATTGAAATGGATAGTTTATTTTTTGCTAGAAAGGCAGAAAAATTGTGTTCCAAGCTGAACAACATCAGGGCCTGAGAACGAACCTGGGCAGACCTTCGTGTACGAGTTGCACAGGGACAGAAGAGGAGGACTGAGCTGTTCCCCGAAGCACTCGGATTTGGTAACCAGCAAAGCTTTTGGTAACCAGCAAACCTTTTGCTGCTGCCGAGAGCAGCTGTGGGAGCTGGGAGCAGGAGTAGCTGGGTTGAGGAAAAAGACTGACGGGGTGTGAGTAGCCACAGCGCCTGTTGCCAGGCTCCGAGCAGCCGCAGGGCCCACGCCAGCACCCAGCACTGGTAGCAGGCGGGGCGGTATTTTTAAATAGTCGTTTAACCCTGAGCAAGGCCGGGAGCACGTTCAGGAACATGCTGGTGCCTACAGGGCATTCCAGGGACATTCCAAATTAAAATACTCCCATGCTACTGCGTGCGAAGGGGAAGACCTGGGATGAGGTGTCCGCTGTAGGCTGGCTCCTGGAAAAGTCAGAGGTGTAACTACTAATCGTCTCCAGGAGATGGCACCCGCAGCACGGAGAGGATGACAGTGCTGACTACGGGCACCGACTGCGCTCACCATCGGTGTGACACACAGCCCAGCAACACCCTTGAGCCACACTCGGAGCCCCTGACAAGGAGCAAGGACGGCGTTACATCCCACAGTTGTAGTAACAACTCTGCGTTGTCATCAGTGACCACCCAAGCACTGCAGTGGCTACTTACAACAACTCTGGTGTAACGCACCGATGGTGTCTGTTATCTCAACCCTTCACGCCCCACACTGGGCCCCAGAAAGGACTGGGCTGGTTTAACCCCCGTCAGCCACACAGCACCACACAGCCGCTTACTCACCTGCCCCCTCCTCCAGTGGGACGGGGCAGAGAAGTGTAGGAAAAGAAAACCCGTGGGCTGAGAGAAGTTTAATAATTGAAAATAGATTAAGTAACAGCACTAATACTGACAACATGTAATGGAAAATGCTGCTACTGATAATGTGTAACAAAAAGATGATTATACAACCCCCCACCACCCACCCAGCCTGTCCCCGAGCAGCGGTCCCCTCAGCTCACGTACTCAGCCTAACAGCTGGTGTCACACCGTCCCTCTGGTCAGCTGTGCTGGCTCTGCCCCCTCCCCACCCCTTGTGGAGAAGCAGTGGGGAACAGGGGCGGTGTCAGAAACTGGGAGTGCTGGGCTTAATGTAACGCTGCTTGGCCACAACTCGAACATCCTTGTGTGGACAGTCTTCTCAGCACGCACCCAAAACACAGTGTCGTACTAGCTACTAGGAAGAAAATGAACCCCATCTCCCCAAGACCAGCACAGGGTCACCACCTCTTTACAGACTGAAGGAAACAGCTCCAGAATTTTTCTGCCACCTGTTTCAGCAGGGAGAACATTTAACTGTATGTAAAACAGAAATATGTACCTGCTGACTTCCTTGACGAGCACCAGTGTTTCCAGAAACGGGTAACTTGTACTGCTACAGTGGGGCCAACGGCTACTACTCACTCCAAGCACTGCTTACGCACAGCCGGGGTTGAATGCTGGGCCCATCTTTTAAAGATCTTGGCAGCCAACGATGAGCAACGTGAGTTCAAACCTGATGATAAGTGTAAGTTTCATTCAGATGTCTAACAACTTAAATACAAACCAAACGTGATTAAGAACACACTGTTCGTCTTTATTGTTCTGGTAAATCTCATCTGTCGTTTAACTGAAACTTTTGCCAAAAGTGGAATTAATTCATTTAATTAAACAGTCATTCTCTTAAAAAGATTAGTTTTCTGGTAGAAGTCCCAGTATGCACAGCCAACTTTGCGTGTAGTGGAGTACAACCAGCTGTTCCCATTCTGGCCCTAAGTGAACAGCATCTCCCAGGTGGCAACTGTAGGAGAAAACCGAAAGCCTGTGCGGAAGAACCGATGTCGACGGGTGGCAGGAGCAGGATGGAGTACAGAGCGGGCGTTACGAACAGCCGAAGGGGCTGGGGTTTTGCACCTAGGCCCTACGTTACGCCTAGCAGCTGAAGAAGGGATTGGATTGAAGCCTGTACAGACACGTCCCGGGTGCTGAAGTGCATCCTGCGTGACTAAACGAGGAGCTAGTTAGGATTTAAAACAAACAGCTTACATCCCCGTTTACAACTTGATAGTAGGTATTTTGTCACTAGTTACCACAACTCACATTTGAGTTTAATAGCTGCAACAATTCCTTCCTGGAAGCAGTATGCGTGACAGCGGCGATGAGGGGAGGGCAGAGGGCCAAGACAGACTCCTCCATGTTCTCCTTAAGTGACTGTAGTAGTTGTCTACGAAGAATCCCACTGGGATACGAGACTCACACTCCAGATGGCATCCTGCACCACCCAGCATACAAGCTGGAGACAGCAGCTGGCTCCGCAGGCTCTCCACAGGGCAGCTGGCTGCAGGCGCCATCACCCCTGCTCACGTGTCAGCCTTTCCCCGGAGTGTGCTGCACGCCGATCCTGCCGGAGATCCGACAGGCCGCACCAGTCCAGCCCTACCGCGACACCTGAAGAGCTGAAGTGACAGGCAGTAGTGACGTCTTTAAAATGTTTCACCCTGGCTTTCGTTGTTAATTTTTGTGCTCTGTACTTAGCTGGGCAGAAAATACGTTCTTTTCACACACAAACTTGTGGAAAGAAGGAGAAGCATCCACCTCGCCGCATACCTGCGGAGCACGTTCCAGGCAGCGAGAGCCCTGAGCAGCGTGCCCCGAAGACGTCCCCTGCTCCCCTCAGCCAGCTCGACAGAGACAGTGCCGTTAGCTGGAAGAGGAGACGGGCGTCCCGTGGCACGTGCTCGCAGGTCTGAGCGGCGGAGGGGTGCTGGTGACGCGCTGCGCGACCGCCCTGTGAGCACGCACCTCGTTTTAGGAAGCGAGGGCTTTCCCACCCTCGCCAGGGCTCCGACCGCCTGAGCCCGGAGG